ATGGCAGCCCCCTGCCGCTCCCTCGCCAGACTTCCCCCCTCCTCCCCCAGAGAGCAGCTTAGTGTTTCCTCCTCCACCTCCTTCCCCGGCTTCCTCTGCAGGTTCTCCCCCCCCTGACAAATCGGGGTCTCCGGGCAAAAAGACCGGCAAGACGTCAAGCCCCGGAGGGAAGAAACCGCCTCCGACACCTCAGCGCAACTCCAGCATCAAGTCCTCCAGCTCCACCGAGTACCATGAGTCCAAGAGACCTTCCGTGGACCGCCTGGTCAGCAAATTTGCACACCCGCCAGAGCCGTCGGGGTCTCCTTCCAAGGAGTCGTCGCCTCCTGCAGCCCCTCCGAAGCCGGGAAAGCTCAACCTTTCCGGGGTGAGCCTGCCCATTGTTCTTCCGCAAGGAGGGATCCCAGCCAAGGCGCCGGCTCTGGGTCTGTCTGGGAAAGAACCCGTGGTCGAATTCCCTTCGCCACCGTCTGATTCGGACTTCCCACCACCACCACCTGAAATAGACCTTCCTCTCCCGCCAGTTGAGATCCCATCCGTGTTTTCAGGCAGCACCTCCCCGAAAGTCGCTGTTGTCAATCCCCAGCCTCAAGTGTGGTCAAAACCATCTGTGAAAAAAGCCCCGCCACCCACACGTCCCAAGCGGAATGACAGCACTCGGCTGACGCAGGTGGAGGTCGCAGAGCCAGCGGGCTCAGCTGGCCCTCAAGTGCCCACTTCGCCCAAGTCCAGCCTTAGCGTTCAGCCGGGATTCCTGGCAGACCTCAACCGGACACTGCAGCGGAAGTCCATCACCCGGCATGGCTCCCTCTCCTCCGCGCGGATGTCCAGAACAGAGCCCGCAGCCACCATGGATGACATGGCCCTGCCGCCGCCGCCGCCGGAGCTGCTCTCTGTGACTTGCGGGCCACTCCGTGACCGGCCAGCCACCTGGGGAGGATGTGGGGACGCGAGTGGTCGCCCCACCAAAGGAGGTGACCTCCAACTGCAGCTGAGGCTGAACGTAAAGACCTTCTCCTCACGGCTAGGCCGAGAAGGCCGGGGGCTTGGGGTGTTGATACTTTATTGGGAAAGGTGGGTAGCAAGGCATTGACGTACCCTTCCAGTTTCTTTTACCGTTCTTGTGGATTGGACCAAAACCCCGTTTTCTTACTTTTTCTGCATTTAGGGGAGGGGGGGGAGAGAATTTTTTTGTAGTGTCTGTCCACGTGAGACATGTTTGTGCATGTATTATAAGTGTAGGTATATAATATATTGTGATATATTTCGTCGCAATTATAGAAGATAACCAGAATGTTTTTGTAGAACCGTATTTATTGTTTCGGTCACTATATTATCTGGAATCAGACTCTGTAACTGGTCAGATCTTACCACAAAGATGAAGATGGAGGGGGCACTTTAAAGCAACGAAGGACAAAAACCCCAAAACACAAACACCCCCCTCCAAGCCTGGTGGCAGTTTGCGGTGGGTAAACGGCGCAGAGCTGAGGTGTTCTGCCAGTAACTGTACCTTGTCCACTGATTGAGAAGGACAGATGCAACATACCAAAACATTCTGGTCGTAATACTACTGAAAACGAGTATGTTCTGAGGAAGAAAATAGATTTTATATATAGTGGGCTGGAGTGAAATATATTTATACTATAAAGAGCCTCCCCCTCCCTTCCAAATAGTTTAAAAATATACATTGCTACAAATTATTTCAAAGTTATTTGTCCATGCAGTAAGTAGGATAAATATACATTATTCCAATCCATTATGCATTCTGACTTTATAGTAGGCTTGATCGTTTGTTTCCGTGGCTCAAGATGAATACATTTGTGTCAACCCCTGCTGAAAGCTGCCAGGACTCCTGCAGCCGGTGGCGACCCCACGGCTGACCCGCGCCGATACATGGCTTGTACGTGCAGTTCTTTCCCTGAACGAACAGGTAGGTTTGTGCAGAGCGCGTTGTGTTCTTCCGCAGACATGCACAGCGTAGGTCTCACCTGTGCCTGGCAGGATGTGTTATCTTTACGAAAACAAGCGTCCGGAAACCTGTAAAGAAAGTATTGTTTGTAGTTCATTGGAAACTGTCGGGAAACTTTCCCTGCTGGAAAGAGAGAAGGGTGTGGAAATTTCAGGCCAAGCACAGCGGGAATTCCCTCTCATTTCTTTGAGCCGCCAGAGACGCTGTGACCAATGCATAAACCTGTTAATTACAAAGTTGCACTTCTAGCAGTCAAGGGAGAAGACTGGAAAAAAAACCCCAACCTTGAGAGGCAATAACATGTGCTAATAATTTAATTTAAGGGCCCTTATGCATAGGAAATAGACTATCGTATTTGCTTTGGTTTTTTTGTTTGCCACCGAGTCGCAGCCAATCACCCGATCAAGTACCAGAGTCCTTTTTCTTGTACTTGCGTAGCTTGGTAGTGCGGTCTTGCCCGCGCGTCTGGGCGTTGCGATAAGGCAGTGTCGTTCGCGTACGTGGTGGTGTGTATCGTGCTGCTCGTTGCAGGGCAGCGGTACGCAGCCTTTGGGAAGGAACTGAAGTGCTCGGACTGTACCTACCCCATCCTCGGGTGTTGCGACTTCCCTCGTCACCGTGGGGATACTGTCATGGCTCGGTGGCAGAGGAGTCTACAGTTTGCTTACCTTTTCTCCAAATGAAATGCAATATGCTTTCCTTCCCCCAAAGAATGAAGCAAGGGAGGCAGCCCGAGCTGACGGTATCCTCGAGCATGTAAGGAAGATGTAAACGAATCTCTCATTAGAGTGATTCAGGCTGATAGATTTAAGAAATATTATGACAGTGTCCCACATTCCCTATTTTTTTTTATAAAATGCTTTTTTAAAAGTCCAAATAGTAAATATCTTTGTGAATAATTTATGAATAGGAAAAAAGCTTTGCTAATTAGAGGGGAAAATGACACATCTATAACTATATAGTTTTAAATAAGTGCATCATGAAAAGAGAAAAATTAATGGTGCTGTCTCTGCTGACCTGTTTCATATGATTTTTTAAAAATCTGTTTCAGCACCTCTGGAAATTGTTTTAATATTTCAGACTAGTTTTTTTGAGCAATAAGAGTATAATACCATTGTGTGCATTTGTAAAGCACTGCTATTGAAAGGCACTTTTTTGTATCTTTCAGATCGTTCACAGTTTTATTTCTACTATTTTTGTGCTTATAAAGTGTCCTTAAAAGCATTTGCATTGTTGATTTTAAGCACGCTCGGTGTAGCTGGCGAAGAGCTTCAGAGGAGGGTTGTTACGCTACGCTGCGGTTCATGGGTGCGTAACTGGCGCCGTGCGCCCCCCCGCAGCGCGGTGAACACGGGAGACAGGCGAGCGGAGACGACGTCCTGCGCCCTGGCAAGGTGCACCGGGGCTGGTGCGTCCGGTGCTCCCACGGGGGAGCCGGCAGGGAATCCCGCTTGCCCCGTCTGTTCTTCTTTCCCCCAAGACAGCTCCGCTGGTGTGTGTCAGCTCCAGTCCCTTCTCTTTGGTTCAGTCAGTGCGGGTACCTCTGGGCTTGGGGCTCGGCAGCGCAGTGTTCTGAGTGCAATTCCATCAGAGGCATTTGAGCTTTGTTCGCGTTTTCCTGCGCCCAGGCTCATTTGCCCAGTCTCTCTCGCTAGACGATGAATCCACGCTCCCTACTGCGGGACGCTGCGCGGCTTGTTGGGAGACACAAGTTTAGCTCTTTAAGTTTGCAGCAAAAAGACTTGAGAGTCAGCAAAGGTGGCACCCCGTATTCCTCCTTACTTCCTACGCCAGGAGGGATACAGAAATACAGCAAGTGGCGGCAGCTTGCTTTCTCTCAGCTGAGCACTGGAATTTGGCTGCAGGGTGGTTCAGACAGCCTGGCTGCCTTTTCAGCTTAAGAGAACCCCTACTGTAACTTGCTTCTCCAGTATGTGTACTGGTTTTGTGACAGTCAGTATTTATGCCTTATTTGCAAGTAAGTTATTTTTTCCCCATGTGCACGGGTCTCATAATTCCACCATTATATTTATTTAAATCAGAAGACAAAGGGGCCAGATCTCAGACACACAGCAAGAAGCTTCCTGCTACAAACACGGGCTGTCATCCTTTCAGCGCTATGAAAAGGAACAGGGGAGAGCTGAGCTTTCATGCTCTGGACGCAAAGACAGCAGCTGCTTTGATCCTAAAATACTGAGAGTACGGTTGTTACCTGATGAAGTGTGTGGCCTTGACAGTTGTTAGGGTGGGTGCTGGGGAACGCCCCGCTGCTGCAGGGGCAGCTGAGAGCCTGACCGCTGCATTTGTTACCCTGGTCCCCATCTGGTGGTCATTTCCTCGGCCAAGCAGCGGTAGCATCCACCTCTGGGAGCAGCAGGGTCCTCCTGCTCAGCCAGGTTTCTCTGTGCCTGCAGCACAGGTGCAGAAAGCAGGGAGCTGGTCTTCTCCAGCGCTTTCATTCTAATGTGGGGTCTCGGGAGTTGCTTTGGAACGGAAAACTAAGATTTAGAGCAGCACTAAGAGAAGAAATCCTTTAAAAAAATGAAAAACCACAGGTTCTAAACAAACCATAGGCAACATGTTTGAGGGGGATAGGCCAGGGCTCCTGTCTAAGCTTTCAGAACCTGTGCTTGGGGGAGGTTAGGCACAAGGCTCTCAATAAAATAACCCTGTTACTTTCTGTGGAAGAGGAAAGCTCCTGCTTCACCCTGTGCCGTGGTTTTCTCCTGTGGCAAACCACCACTGCTTGCTCTGACTTGGTGCACAACCTCAAAGCCAAAGAGCTCCTCTCCTGAACCTGCTCTGCAGCTTCCTGCAGGGCAGCAGTGACTGACAGCAGGGAAGCAAAGCCAGGCTCCCTGGATCGCTTTGGTTTCAGGTCTGGGGGGAGAGCGAGCATTTTCTTCAACAAGTGCATTTTAAGATTTACTGTTCTGGACTTGCACATGTAAAGGTTTTCTGATTTCTTCTTTCTGTGCCCTTAGGCAACCAGGTAACTCAGATCGGCTCAGAGGTAAAGTGTGGCCAGTTTTCTGAGCTAAAATTATTTTTCCCACAGTTACAGGAACCTAAAGTGCCGTTTCAACAGCAGAAGGGCAAAAGAGACAATTTATGCATATTACAGAAAACTGTATAGAACTAAATTGTACTTCAGTGGTACCACTGCAGGGAAATTTGTTTCTTTTCAAAGATTATAAGTGGGTCTTACTTACGAGTATTACTACAAATACAGAGTCCTGTTAGAGGTCAGTTGCGCTCCAGGAAAGCAATATAAATGCCTGACAGAAGGTAGTGAGGATGCAGCCAGAACATGTGCGTGCATTTGTTTTGGGGGGTTTTTGTCCCTTTTTCATTGCTGGGTGTGCGTTACATACTTTTTCAAACAGTGCTCCTCATTTGGAGGTGGGGGGAGTCGAGATGCTTCGCATTCCCTCACACAGTTGGGGTGGACTCCAAACCAGAGAGGATTTAATACTACAGGGATTGGTGCTCCTAGATGGTTTCATCATGTGCTGATGGGTTTTAAGCTTTTCTTTTGGAATGGTAGGTTTGTCTGAAGCTGTGTAATTTTCCTTTCTGAATTTTTTCTTCTTCAATTTAAAAAAACCGCCCATGAAGACTGACAAAAGCAGCATTATGTTGCAGGGGTCAGCACTCACTAACCTGTGCTCCAGTGAGTCACGGGCTTTGTCTAGTTTTGAAATGTTTAAGACACTAAACTGCAAGTGAGGTGACAACACCTGCTTGTCCCGCACACTGTAAATTAAAGTAATTGCCACTAACGGGAAAAACAGCGCTTTGGGTTGATGGCTGTTTGGTGCTCTGAGGCACTCAGCAGGGCAGGGACTGGGTCAGCTCTGTTCATCAGAAGTGTGGAGCTTTGGTGCCGAGAGCTAGAGCATTTGGAAGGAGGAACAGGAACTAGTGCTACAGGAACAATCCCCCATGGCAGGGATTTAGTGAGGGAAATGAGCGAGAAGGGACTTGAGTTACAGATTTTGAAGCCCTCCCTTATTCAGTGCTTCGCGGCAACTTGTCTGAGGAGACTCGGGAACTGAACCACCCCTCTAGTGGTTTCGTCCCACGGTTCCCAAGGCACCAAAGATGCATTCAGAGCTAAAGTC